CCTATATTTATAGAGAATGAATAGGGATACATATGGTAATAATATCTAGAATTGCAGGGGTATAATTGTCATTCACCAATAACTTACTATTTACAACATTATGGATATTATTTAGGATTCTCTATTTATTGAGAACCATAGTTTCCACTTTCCATATAACTTTATTTGATAAAGATTTGATTATTGGAATTTGATTCTTAGTAGTCAAAGAAAACGATTCTTGGAGAAATTAAAATTTCCACAAAACTAGATTTACTTTTTTTATGAAATTAATTTATGCAAATAAAAAAATAGTTTTCGGACCCAAACAATTGCACCATGTACCATCGATCGGGTTTTGCACAATAAAAACAAATTAGTCGAATTCAATATTGATATTCTCAAACAAGCCATCATCTTACAAAAAATGTCAAAAGGTAAAATCTCACGTCATTTAGATATAAAAATAATAATTAATTAAATTATAAAGCTCCAAACTACTTTAACAAAATTGACATATTTAGAAGCCTCTATATGGCTAATTTGTAAATGATTTATATATATAATTTGTATAAATTATCGAATTTCATTTTCAATTACACATTCTTTCAATAAAATAATTTACATGTGAACCCAAAATTTTTCATACTTTTTAACTCCACATTCTTAAGAAAAAAAATAATAACTATTAGGACATGTTTAATTGAGGAAAAATTCCATGAAAAATAGAAAAGAAATTTTATTTCCACCCAAATTCCATGTTTGATTGGTCAAATGTTCTTGGCAATTCAATTTCCACCTTATGCCCCGCACGTGCCCAATTTTTGGTTTTTGAGGAATTCCTTTTCCCATGGTTTTGGTGGGAAAACGATTTTTCGGTTTTTTTTTTTTTTAAACAAATCCTATTGTCAATTGTAAAAAAAATTTCCTTTAATGGACAATTTCCATGAAAAACAAAGCTAAATCAACACAAAAAGATCCAAAATTTTAATATTTTTTAGTGGAAAATTATACAAATCAAATACAATTAATTGACAATTCCCAGTAAAATGAATTATAGAAAATTCAATTTCCCGAAATTCATTTTCTTTCTACCCAAATTAAATACTCACAATTAAATGGGCCCTTACATTTTTTATATTTTAGAAAAATGGGCTCAAATGATAGCTTTCGAATCAATGCATTTTCTTTTCTCACTGATTTGATTTTGCCTGGCCAGGAGAAGGGGGAGAGATGATTAATTAACTAATTAATTGATTAGAATTTTTACTGTTGATCATATGAATAAATTAATGTTAGTACGTACGTAGGACATTCATGCTGGAAAAGAAGAAGAATTTATTTGATGATCATCATGCTATCAAATACAGGAGCAGACAGACCACACAAGTGCAATCACAAAAGTTTTACATAAATTATTATTGCCGACACTTTGTAATTATCTCTTTATACTCCTTTTTCTCTTTTCTTAATTTTAAAACCCCAATCTACCATTTGTCAATCTAGCAAGCTATTTTTTCCCCTTGCACGCGCATATCAGTAGGATAATCGTAAGTGTACGATATTGTTAACAAGTAAGTATGCGACTCGAATATCGTTTCTATTAAATATGTGATGGATTTGTCTTAATTTCATTGCACGTGCGAGAATATATGTAAGCGAGCGAAATCAACTAGGGTTGTCGCACATACGAACCTCTTTGCAGCCCACTTCTTTTTTTTTTTTTTTTTGCTCTCCATTTTTTCTTTTATCTTGCGTCAGTGTCATCGTCAGCGTCGTGTTTAGATTTGACTTTTTATTTTACGTCTCGAAGTATCATGTCCTCTCTCATTTCCACCCTTATTTCACTTCATTTATCCAAGTTCAGAATGTTCTCTAAAACACGAAAAACACTACGAAATCAATATAAACTCATCGAAACTACTACTATGCACGATGATATAAACTAGACATGCATGTATATATTAATGTTGTTTTTACCTTCGATGTGATGGGTTATTGTTTTTTCAAGTTTTAACAAAGTCGTTTTCTACCTTTTAACTAAATTATTAGAGTTTGGCCTTGTTTTCAAATCTTTCATTTGACGCATCTCACCACGGCCTATAACTATAATACATTTTGTGAATTTCGCTCTCATCTATTAATTAATTAATTAATTATTAATTAGAAAACTTATTAGAGAAGTAATTTATTTTATATATGTTTGTTTTGGCCAAAGTTGGCATAACTAATTAATTAATTAAATAATACTTCGTGTCTTGTGAAAATAATTATTTAGATATTTGAGAAAACTCACTGCACTGATACAGTACATTGCATGGCAGCTTCTGGCTCCATTTCTTGAAGGGCTGGTAAAACTGGAAAATGTTACTATCATAGTATGATGAAAGCTTCAATTTCAATTTTTAATATACATTAATATATTATAAGATAGATTTGAGCTCAAATTTGCTCAAAGAACCAAGTTTCTAGAGGCAAATTGAGTAGAGGGGAATGAATGAAGTGCACAACTGAATATTTACTTTTCTACTTCAAAGCAATAGCATTCAATTTTGGTTATGGCTCTGTGTGTGTTGCTCAAGAAGAATTTGTGGGATGTACAATGTGTAAAGTACGATCAGTAGTGACTACGAATGAGAGTGATATAATTTAGTTATTCTAATGAATGGATATGATTGATTGTGACACTTACTACTTAGATCTTGCAAACTTGCTATTTGTTAGGTCGAATCAATGGGTCAGACGATGAATATTTGCAAAAAAGAAAAAGCTACAAAAAGAAAAAAAAAAATTGATTTTGTTGTCGAGTACTCATGGTCTTCGTCTCTCTATTTCATGAAGAGACAAGTTATGCATATTTTATTTTTCTTTTCAACTATTTTATTCGATTCATAATTAAAACAACATATAAAAATAATTTTTTTCCTTTTTGCCCAAGTCCTGCATATTGCCAAGGAGCTACATGTAGCAGAAGAAAAGACAAATAGAAAGCTTACAATTTTCATGTAGACCAAGAAATCCCTTCCTGCAAGTGCAACTGTTCAAGTGAGGGGGTAGACTCGGATTGTGCCTCAACTTCTCTAATCGACGCTTTCCGGACGAATGAGTCATTTCACGTGAGAAATGCTATAGGAACATGCTCAAATTCAAGGAGGACACGTGTCGACGTCAGATTGGACAATTTAAAAAGAAAAATGCTAAATGTACATCAAGGTGTATATCACCTCACATGGAGGGGCCCACTCAAATAAAATATTCAAGTGGGCCCCCTACCCATATGAGGGGGGTGTACACTGTGATGTACACCCCGATGTACCTCTAACATTGCTCATTTAAAAAATACACACACACAACACCCAATCATTTCCCTACACATCACCATGTCTCCTTGTTTCCTGCTTTTGGGCTTGGATGAGTGACTTTTTCCATAATTTAAACAACACATAAAAATAATTTTTTCTTTAATGCCATTTAAGGCTTGCTCAAAATTCAAAATGTGTCTTTAAAAAAAACAGGAGAATTGGTGACCAAATTGAAACTAGGCTATAAGTTCAGTGACTAACTAGATGTATTTTGAACTCAAAAAAATAATGAGTAAATTGTTTCAATAATCACTCAACTTAATCTTGGTCACGGTTTACTTACTAAACTTTAAAGTGCTTCATAGTGTTCACTGAACTTTGTCCGTTTGCACTCCGTCCATCACCCTAAAAAATTCGTTACTTTATTCGTTGACGTGGCTAACGAAAATCTGACGTAACAAGTTACGGTCGTTAAAAAATGACAACTCAACCAAATCATTATTTCATTACTCATCCAACTTATATTTGGCCACAGATTACTCATCGAACTTCAAAATGCTTCTCAACTCATCTTTGAGATATTGCACTCCATTCATCATCCGCCATATTTTGTTCCCTTCATTCTTAATGTTCGGACAAATCACGTGGTAAGTTATAGATGTTAAAAAAATTGCAACTCAACAAAATTTAACTCACGACAATCATCATATGTGAAACGTGACTTCCACGGCCACATCAACTTCTTTATCAACTAAATAAAGTGTCGTCATTGATTCTTTTAGAAATATCATTTTTCTAATTCGAACGTTTACTGTACAAAAAATAGTTTTTAATCTGAAACTGAAACTCTGAAGCATAACTTGTTAGGGTACGCTTTGTTAGATTTTAAAAAAGTTCATGAGGTGTGGAAGTCGCGTTTTACATATGGTAAACGTTCCAACCAAACAAGTTATGCTTCAGAGTTTCACATTCAAATTAAAACCTATTTTTTACACAGTAAATGTTTGAATTAGAAAAATGATATTTCTAAAAAAATTATTGGGAACGCTTTATTGGATTTTAAAGATGTTGATGGGGGCCGTGGAAGTCGCGTTTCACATATGGTGATTTTGGTGAATTAAGTTTTGTTAAGTTGCAATTTTTTTAACATGTATAACGTACAATGTGGAATTTTTGTGCTAACATTAGAAATGAAGAGAACAAAATATGACGGATGATGAATGGAGTGCAACATCTCAAAGATAAGTGACCATTGTGGAGCATTTTGAAATTCGATGAGTAAACTGTGACCAAATATAAGTTGGATGAGTAATGAAAAAAAATAATTTGGCTGAGTTGTCATTTTTTAACGACCGTAACTTGTCACGTTAGATTTTCGTTAGCCACGTCAGCGAATAAGGTAACGAATTTTTGAGGGTGAACGGAGTGCAAAATGACAAAGTTCAGTGAGTAAATCGTGACAATGATGAAATTGAGTGATTATTGAAACAATTTACTCAAAAAATAACTGTAAAATTAGAAGAAATAAATAACACCCCGAGGAACCCGCCGTCAGCCACCCCCTTTAGCCTCCACCGCCGTCCACGTTTTGGCCGGCCACCACCATCCCGTACCTCTTCCTCTTCTCACCCCCACTGCTTATTTCAGACAATTATACTTCGATGGACTGAAGTTCCTCAAAACTAATTGATAGTGTCTTATGGAACAAGAATCAGAGGCATGCTAACAATGAAATCCGTCTCTCTTGTTAGGAATCCGATTCTCAGTTACTACAATCATCATCAGAATCTGGGATGGTGGGTTTTGAGATCCTGGTTCAATTCATGGTCTCATGCAATAAGAAACGCCTCATCCTCTTCACCTCTAAAAGCCCTCAAACTCTACTCTCAAATGCACAGAAAATCTTTGCCATTTGATAGTTTCTCTATTCTGTACGCTATCAATTCGTGCACCCATTTTCCTGAAAACGTTGACAGCCTGTCCATTATTCGCCACCTCCACGCCCACCTTCTTAAACTCGGCTTCAATACCCACGTTTACGTTGCTACTTCACTATTGCACTCTTATGCTTTAGCTGTTTTTTGTGACGCGTGTAACTTGTTCGAAGAAATGCCTGAGAGAAATTCCGTCACCTGGAACACTATGATCACAGGATATTCACGACATGGAGATGTTAAAAGTGCGTGCAAAATCTTCAATCAAATGCCTAAGAGAGATCTTGCTTCCTGGACTGCGATGATCACGGCTTATATGAACAGTGGTTTTTGGGATGAAGGCCTTGCGCTTTTTCGACAGATTTTAACGGTGAAAATCATTGATAATGAGTATCTAAAGCCTGATCAACTGATATTGGGTTCAGTTTTGGCAGGGTGTGCAAACATGGGTTCAGTTGGATTAGTGTTTGGCAAATCTTTACATGGATTTGCCGTTAAAAATGATTGGCAATTGAACGTGACCTTTGGTACTTGTTTGGTTGACATGTATGCAAAATGTGGGTTGTTGAAGAATGCTTGCCTGGTTTTTGACATGATGAAGGATAAGAATGTAGTGGCGTGGACAGCGTTAATATGTGGCTCCGCTCAGCATGGCTATGGCCAAGAAGCATTGCTAATATTCGAGAAGATGAAAAAGGTAGGCGTTGAACCCAACGAGTTGACGTTCACAGGATTACTTACTGCCTGCGTCCAAGCTGGGTTGGTGGACGAGGGACGCAGATACTTTAGGATGATTGAAGAGTGTGGACTGAGGCCAAGAATTCAGCACTATGGTTGCATGGTTGATTTGTTTGGAAAGGCAGGATTTTTAGGGGAAGCATACGAAGTTATTAAAACGATGGCACTTGAGCCCAATGTGGTTATTTGGAGTTCGTTCTTGTCATCTTGTAAGTTGCATAAGCAGTTTGAGATGGCCGAGAAGGTGATTGATCAGGTGAAGAGAATGGTGAGACCAGAGAATGATGGTGGGGTTTACACGCTCATAGCTGATTTGTATGTTTTGAGCGACAAGTGGATCGAGGCAGAAAGACTGAGAAAGCTTATGCTCAACAAAAATGTGAGGAAGGCGCGGGGATCTAGTTTCATTAGAAATGGAGACGTGTGAAAACAAGGAAAATCCTTCTTTTTCCCTGTATTCCTTCATCAAGCTCTCTCTTGGAAACCATCAGCAACAAAATGAGGATTAAACTCCAGACTGGTTCTGCCGGTTTCCTCAAACAAATACAAATACCTTCCAATCGAAGGAGGCTATTAGAGTTTCTTTGTCGTATCAATTCTTTTGACATGAGATAAATGGATATCCGTTGAAAGTAAGCTGTCCTCAAAACCTCGTAGCCACAAAATTGATAGTCCATTTTTGTCAGCAAGGGATCGCCAAGTCCTGAGGAAATCTACAAGATTAAAGAGTTCTGGTTACAATGTATTTAGAATCTACCCAAGAGAATGATGGGGATTATTTGTAACTTGTTACTGTTACTTTCGTTTATGAAATTATTGTAGTAATCCGAAAAAATTACACATGGACTCCACTGTCCCAAGTCTCAGGCCCTACCCGCTGCCTTCTTTATATATGTATAGCTATGTAGCGTGCGCATTCGTGTAGGAATCAAACTGCTTGGGTAGTTCGAAGTTAAGCTAACTCCAAAAGTTCAAATGGTTTGAAATGAATCGCTTGTAACAATGATAGATTAGATCCAAGACCTACTAAGCCTACTCCATTCTCTTCGCCTCAAACAAGGTAATCAAAGTTCCTGCGACGGCATATGGAACCACATTCTTGTTAGCTGTTGCTACCCTTTGGACCCTCTTCATATTCGTAGCTATTTCTCACTTCTCAATTGTCCCACAAAAGTTCATGCCCATAAACATCTTGATCTCATCTTATTCAGCGTGAAAAAGCACAAAAAAGTCAATCGGAACAAGTACCCGATATACTAAGGTGCACAGTGCTTAAAATGTGGTTGAGTAGCTTTCCAATCTTGAGAATGGCTAGTCTGACTTAAAAGACCACTACGCTTCTACCCTGCCTAACTTCTCATTGATGTATTGTTTCATCGAAATTCAATCCAAATCGCAATGATATTTTCTTGTTCTTGAAGGGATCTTGCCACGCTCTACCAACAAAATTAAAACACAATCCCCTAAATTTACGTTATGCAGCAGACGACCAAAAAAGATTGATCATTGGAGCTGTTTGTGAGATTTGATTTTCACTTTGTGCTTGTTTGGTAAAACTTGTTTGCTACCCACAAGCTTTTATCAACTTTTAACATCACACACTCCTTGATTAAGTTGAAAGTATATACATGAAGTATCAGGATAACCAACGTCATAAGAATTTTTCCTAAATACAATCGGGTAATCGATAATATAACTGAAACGGTATCAAATTTGAATTTATTGAAATTGCTCGCCCAAATGAAATTGCAAACATGCCATTATTGTGCAGTGCTCAGAGCACCAAAACTGCAGTTAAACAAACAGGACAAGTAGAGTGAATATGGCTTCATTCACGCTTAATTCCAAGTTGTGGACAATTTAGGATTCATCTTTATTCAAATTGAGGACATTTCTGTAAATTTCTTGTTCCTGTTTTGCTGCAACGGCTTCATCATCGGGTACCTGAACAGGTGGCATTCCGGCAATCTTAACACGCTACTTTTCTTGTATAAAAATCTATTCACAACAGGCTTTAAGAGCAGTGCAGTCAATATCAGTTTAAGGCAGAGAGGAGGGTAAGTAGACAGACAGTGAAATGCTCAAAAAAAGCAATAGAAGAAACAGAATATCAGGATGGACTAAAAGGAAAAAGGAAGGAAAATAATATTCTACCTGATTCAACTGATCAAGACCGGGGGACTTGCAACACAAAAATGTATAGATCAGACTCTGTAGTGAGAAATAAAAGGTATCAGAGACAACCTCAAATCACTTTATATAAATTTCAAAAAATTGAAATTAGAAAGGCCTTGTGCCCCCACATAAAAGAGAAGTTAATATGAAAATTTAGGTAGCACCACACAAACTAAAGAATTAGCTGCCAATTCAACCATGAGTAAATCGTCGAGAAAACAAACTCTATATTCCACTGGAGGAGAACCTCCAGTTATTCCTTTCCTATTACATAACTCACAAAAAATAAAATAAAAAATAAAAAGAGAGAGAGAGAGAGAAGTCAGAATCAGGTGGATAACATCAATAAAACAATAACAGTCCCACACTAAAATGAATCACAGAGGTGACAACTATGTAGCACAAGTTAGAGGAGCAACTGCACAAGCAGAAAACATAAATTAGTATAACAAATATCAAACTCAAGATGTTCATTAGCATAAAACCAGTCAACTTCACATTACCCTCGAGATGATCGCCAAGATGCCGGATCTGTATTAGATACCATACTATCATCAGTTTAAAGTTCCGAAACATTTAAAAAGTACAGGACCAAAATAATATCTGAAGTGACAGTAAAGAAGGATGGAACAAAAGCTTCCTAAGGATCATAATAATAATTCTCTTCGTAACACAACAGTTTCCAATATGAACCTTATAAAGGGCTCGTCAATCATGCAAGTTATCTCTTTCTACCACCGCGTTCCCTGAGAGAAAGCGACAGGGAGTCTCCAGGGGCAACATTGTAATACGCGAGGGATAAGTTGTCCTTCAGAAAACCAGCCTTTCCACTCAGCTTCTGTTTATTTGCAGGAAGCTGGATCTCACCGGCAATTTTCTCTTTTAGGCTAGCGACTGTTTCAGATAGGGATTGCACAGTAATCTCCAGCACTTGTCCTTTGAGATTCCCTTCATCAACATTCGGCACAGATATATTGACACAAGCAGGACCCTACAGCCAGCTCAAATAATCAATAAATCACAATCCACTAATAAAAAAGGATAATGTATGCAAAGATATTAAATGACAGTGTCAAAAGAATGAGAGTAAATTTATGAAAAAAGAGTTGCAAGAGAGAAAGCAAAGATGGTCCATACAGAATGCTGGGCCAGGAACTTCTCTTCTGGAATGAGCATAGAGTCGTCGAGCTTTTGCCTCTTGGGCTCTGGCTCTTCTGGAAGCGGTGGAGGCGCCTCCTCGGGGGGAGGTGGTGGAGGCATTCCTTGCGGCATAGGTGGTGGTGGAACCATGTGCATGCCAGGTTGGGACATGGGATGGTGAACAAAAGGTCTGGGACCTCCCAGAGGCGTAAACTGTGATCCAGGTGGTGGAGGAACAGGGACGCCAGGCGAATTTAGGGGCATTGATGGAGGCATTGGGGGTCGATTTACCATAAGAGGTTGGCCGTGCATCATTGACATTGGAGGAGGTGGAGGCCGAACGGAAGGAATCATGTTGACAACCGGCAGCCTTGGTGGCGGCGGTGCAATTACCCCAGAATTTGAAGTTGTCGGATACTGGACGGTAGTTGGAGGTCTAGGAATATTTAAAACAAGCCCAGGAGGCGGAGGAAGAGGCCTAACTGATGGCATACCAGGTCTGGGAGGTGGAGGTGCTGGACCAGGAAGGTTTATAGCATTGTTATATGTAGCATCATTTTGGTCCTCCCCAGCAATATTCTGAGTCATGGCCTGGCTTGCTGTGCGACCAATGCTTCCTGAATGACCATCCCATATGACCTGCTTCGGTTGTTCATCTTTCTTCTTCTCAATCTCCGCCTTGACAGCATTAGAAACTTCTTCTTCAGTAGTACCAAAAATATCAGGGCGAGTTCGTGCAAGTCCCACGATGTTTCTGGAAATTTCATCATCAGCTGCAAGAGTAGTCTCTCTAATCTTGGCAAACATTCTTTCTTTCTGTTCCTTGTACTTAGGATCAATAAGAGAGATCCTCATATGTTCAGACATCTCGTTGATGGGAATCAGCTCACCAGTTATTGGAGAGACACCATATTTATTTGGGTCTCTTTCGGCAGGGATTCTCTCCTCAGGCCTCTTCCAATTCTTCACAATTCTCATAGGCGGTTCCTGTTCTTCGAGAGTTGGCTTGGCTTCGTTGTTATTCATATCACCACTCTCTTCAAGACTAGCAGCCTTCATACCCTCCTCGACAAGCTGGACCTCTTCTTCATCCATCTCCATTTCTACTTCCTTTCCAGGCTCAACAATCTCTTCTTCTTCCATAGTTGACATCTTGCTCCTCCTTATAACTTCCTCGAGTGTCATTGGAGGAGGTAAATCCTCATCCTCGTCGTCCGCAAAGTCTATAGTCTCAACAACAACAAAATCATGCCAATCAATCATCGCCATCTGCAGCCGCTCCTGCTCAATCTCATCTTCAGCTTTCTGCCTCGCCTGCTCTTGAGACCGTTCCCATTCGAGCCGATGCAAGCAGCGCTCCAGGACAGTCGTCATATCAGCAACACTATTTCTCATCTTGTCAGTACATCCTTTGGGAGGCATCAATACTTTGGAATACGCATCAGCAAGTGATGTAAAGAACATGAACATACTGTGGGTTGGCTTCAGAAAATGGAACTGAGGATTATTGATCTCTCTACTCGTCAAACCTGTCAAAAAAGACTTCCCGTTCCGAGCCACAAACTGAGCAGTGAGCTTAATTATATCCAGTTCCTCCCCTGTAATCCCTTCAGGAAGTCGAACAGTGTACTGCTCCGCTTCTGGTGGCTCAAGAACCTTTCGGACAGGTCTAAACAGAGCCGACGGATCAGGCTTTGCAGAGGCATCACTGACATCAGCAGCCAGAGCCATAGCAGCAGACTCGGGAGCTGACGAATCAGCAAGCTCCAATGGCTGCTGCTGGATAGAAGTTTGATTTTGGGCACGAGCCTCAGATAACCGGTGCTGGTAGTAAGCGTGGTAGGGATCAGAGGCACGTAAGAAGTTGAATTTAGCATTGCCTTCATTGTTAGCAATGATTCTTTTCTCAAACTCGGGCCCATTCTTCACCACAAATTGTGTGGTTTTATCCACAATATTTCTGATATCAGGGGGTGGATATATGATTCCAATAGTCTTTGTGTGGGTTTTAACTGTTGTTGGAAGAGAGTTGGATAAATCATTATCATTGGTCTTGTCTCCATTCATCTCTTCATCTTTAGATTCCTCTATCACCTGAGCCAGGGGTATTGG